AATTCATCACTAATTGGTCGTGAAGTAATTTTTAACAGGGTTAACATTCTTATTCACGTGTGCTTCAATATTTAGGCCCTGTCTGTTGCAGATTTTGGCCAAATTCTAATCAAAATTGTTACCGTTAGTGGGACCTACGTGTGAGATGGTTGGTCAAATAGTGCAACTGAAGTGAAAGCTAACGGTAGGAAAAATTTCATTTCTGGCCAGGATAATTGCTAACAGATAGCCTCTTATTTTTGCTGATATAGAATAACGTGTAAATGAATAGAAGTATTTTTGCTCGTAATTTTGCATTTGCAAGCCACGATGAGCAGGAAAAATTTCATTTCTGGCCAGGATAATTGCTAACAGATAGCCTCTTATTTTTGCTGATATAGAATAACGTGTAAATGAATAGAAGTATTTTTGCTCGTAATTTTGCATTTGCAAGCCACGTGTGCTCATCGTTTATACTGAAAATCAAATTTACTTCGTATTAGGAATGCTCGCTGACAACGGCCTAGGTTCGCACATGATCTGATAATTTTTAACTTAGAAATGCTCGCTAATTGACAAAGATTCGCACAAAAAGAGCTCAAGATGTAAATCAGATTAGTAATTTTACTAAAACCAATATTCATGAGAATCATTACACAGCATCAATTGCATTCAAATCATACAACGAATTCCATAGGTAACATCTCCACTGAAAGAAGAGAGTTTCAATTTTCCGCCACAGCTAAAGGGTGAGACCAAAACATGGATGAGATCAAGCATTTCCTTTTCTTATCATCGTCCAGTAAACCGACACAAATCTCAAACACCCCCTAATTTGAGGGACTAATCCAAACACATCTTCTCACTATAAGTACACAATGAACTCAAAGTCAATTGGGGAATACCCTCCATCTCCCATTTCTCAAAACCTCAATCAAGATATCTGACGCGTGATTTGTATCACAAGTGTACGATATCGTGAATAAGTAATACAGTGAATTAAGAGTCCGGATTATCATTTTCCATGGACTATCTATCTAATTATTGATTCTACTATTTTTAATTTCATCTTTACATAAAAATAATTAAAAATGATTGATTTTAATTTTAATTCTAAATATTAAATTATAAATCTAATAAATCAATTAAAAAGAGTGCAACAAAGAATTAAGAGTTTTTAACTTATAAGTGAGAAGTGTTAGGACTCGTGGTTTCACCGTAATTATTCCCTTTAATTTTACCTCACAAGATTATTTTTTAATACTACAATTGGTCGAATTTTTTAATTAAATTAATTTACATCTTTCGAGTTTAAATTAATCATATCTAGTTGAGTCCACTCACTATATCATTATGTGAATACATATGAGTTTCAACTAAATGCATTAAATCATTAAAGAATTCAATTAATGACCGCAATGATTATAGAAGTGTATCTTTGTCTTTATTTAAATCATCTAGTTTTACTGTGTTGTCCAGGTCTATAAATTATCTATCGATTTGTTACAAATTCTCAATTCAATGAAATAGTGACCAATTATTTCAAAGACAATAATTAATCGAAGTAAAATCAACCGATGAAAGAATTTAAATTAAAGGTTCATAACTAGATTACAAAACTCGTTTCGAGAAAAGGCGAATTTTCAAAGAACGGTGAAGAAAATTGGACAACCAAGAACCATTTCTTCAAGTCAATGACTTGAAATCCTAATTTCTTGAATCTATTTTTTGATGACGGGAATCCTTTTTATAACCTATACAATGTTTACTTATATCCCTATACAATAAAAGAGCCACTTTGAAAAGTACTGTTCCCAATTTCGTCCGCTGAAACGACGTCGTTTTGGCCCAAAAAAATAAAAAAAAAAACTCTCTTTCTCCCAACACGAGCTGCCTGCTTCCGCTTATTTTCTTGTATTTAGGTTTTCATTGACTTCCGCCATTCTCTCCTCAGTTAGGGTTTCCAATCGTAGGTATCTCCACCGCCAGCTCTCCCGCCTCTTCGATCTGCTAGGTTTGTCTTCCTTTTATTGGTTTTTTTTGTGCTTTGTGATGTTATCTTTCATTTGAATACATATTTTCTCGTTTGAAGGTTTTCGATCGCTTCCGCCGTTCGCTCCCGCCTCTGTCGAGGTTTTAAATCGTGGCGGTGGTTCCGTGTACCTCCAACGCTGGCTCTCCTGCCTCTTCGATCTACTGGGTTTGGCTTCCTTTTATGGTTTTGTTTCTGTACTTTGTGACGTTATTTTATATTTGAATGTTGGATTCGCTATTTTTGTGGACTTTGTTGTTATGGTCGCGACCATTGTCGAGAGAAGAAGAGAGAGCAAGAGCAGTTAGGGTTCTGGTATGAAAAATAGGAGAGATCTGGACACTTTGTCTGCACCCCCAGTCCCGTCGGCTTGTAGAACGACAAGATAATTAGCTTAGCCCCCTATGTGTTGTATTCTGAGTAGTAGTCATCATCGATTGCTGAGATGTATGTGTTAAAGTGGGAACCTTATGTAAGTTAATGTGATGAAGGGAAGTGTTGCTGTATATTTCATTTAGGCAGTTGAAATTGTTTTGTCAATCATTTTTTCCTACACGCAGACTTCTAATTTGGGGAAAATTTCAAAAAGCCAGTGTTTTCTATACGTACACAGAAGCAAATTAATGAGAATTGTGCTTTACAGCTTCATGGATGTAGGCATATGAAGAAGCCTTTGATATTTTATTGCCTTGAAAAAAAATTCTTGAAATAAGAGCTCTACTTGTGTGATTTTGTTCTGGATTGAGTTTGGTTTTAGCTAAAACATAGCTAATCACTTCATAAGCTTTGGGGGTTTGATAAATACTACTCCCTTTGCCCCAAATTCTTCGACCACAAGTTCTGTACAAATTAGATTCTCCTGTCTGTCAAGCTTGTTCATGAGAGAGAGAGACGGTTTCTCTGGAAGAGCAGTAGAGGGTCAAACTTTTCTTCTTTGCTACAAGTAGAAAACTGTTCCAGGTAAAGTGAATTATTTTTTACCCCTTAGTCTTTAAGTTTCTTCAATGATGGGTTCCAATAATCCATGGTCCTTTGACTTCTCTTATCATAATATGAATCAAAGAAAGAAGCTTTATTGTTTGAAAGACAGTTTTGTATCTTATATTTTCATTTATTCCTTTTTCAGCACTCATTGGTCTTAACAGTAAACTCTGAGGCCCACAATGGAAAAAGATGAGGCATGAATTCACATGTAAGTTCTCCTTGTGCTGTTGAAAAGTCTTAACTGTTGCATCTATCTTCTCAAACTACTCAGTGTCAGCCACACACAAATTATAATATGGATAATAATTTAGTCATTCAAATTTTTTGTTGTTGTTTCTTCAATGAAGCTTCCTATCTTGTGCTGCTTAGCATGTGTAGTCAGTTTTCTGTTGAGCATGAACTCAGATAGATTTCACCATGTCCCTTTTTGCTGCTAAACCAGAGTCTGGAAAGCTGCAAACTTCTTCTTTTGAATTGTTTGATTCATATTTTGGTAATTAATGTGTTCTTATCTACGGTGTGCACATTTAATTTTTCATTCACAACTCCAGCGTGCATCAGATTACTTATCACCACACCTCAAGAATACGAACAGTTTTCTTCTCATGCACAATTATTGGGCTCGTTCAGAGTCAAAATTGGGCAAAGGTATGATTGCAGCTCGTGGTGTCTGGGAGAACTTGCTTAAAATTAGGTATCTTCATTTTTCATTTCCTTTTGGTTGGTTTTTCGGTCCATATTTATACTAATTATTTACTGGTTTCAATTATCAACAAGGTAACGGGATAATCAACAATCGATAGTGGCTATAGAGACATTGCGACCAAAATTATAGGTACTGATTATTTTCATAGTAATTAGTAAATAACTTATACTTACATGTTCCCAAGATTTGTTTTTAAGCTATAAGGTGTTTTTTCTTTACTTTCCGCATTTGATCTTCTAAATGACGTATAGTTTTGTTAAACAGTGGTTAACTTGTGATTAAGAGATTGTTTGAAGACTTTAACTTTCATACCATATTCTTAACTACTTTAAGATTTCAGCAATTTATGACAATTAATATTGAAAGTTATTTGAAGCTTTGAACTTTTATTGTACTTGTGGTGTTATTAAGCTGGTGCAGCAACTAGAGCTTTTTGTTCATCTCAGAATAGGCCCCTATGCATGTGCTCAATGGACTTTTGGGTAATATTAGAGAATGAAAATGAAATTTCTATAGGAAAATATATTATAGAAATCCCTTTTTCACTATTATTTTTGTTTCTTGAGCATCTTTTATTGTTTCAATTTCAGGGGTTTTCCAGTTTGGCTCAAGTATCTCCTAGGCATTAGTTTCAAGACAACAAAATAAAAGAGTTTTTCATGATATAAACAAAATTTTCATGTAATATGGGTGGGGTGGGAGAATAGAAAGGGGTGTCGGGTGCTTCTTTGAATATATTTGGGTAAATAAGCATTTCATATCTCTGCTACAATAACACCAGTTTAATTGTTTTAAGTTCATCTGCATAGTGAAGTTTTGTGATTTAGATGTGTATTGGTATGACATAAGAATGGCAATGCATTTATACGTAGACCTTTTTATCTTGTTTTTAAAGATGAATGTTGAATAGTGTATTTGTAATGTAAAGATCTGGTAATGTGTGGCACAGTTCTTTAAAATGAACTCATCAAGTCAATTTAATGAAACGTTATACAAGTTCTCCATTCATTTTATCCTTCTAAAATGTAATTGTTATGTCAAAGCATAGATCAAAAGATGTCAAAGTGAATAACTAAAACCCAATATTGGCATCTTATGGTTGCACATTTTGCAGTAATTGAGATAGATCGTAAAGAAGAGAACGAAGTTGTTGTTCTTTTTCTTGAAACAGATTGAATTTATTAGTTTCCACGCTGAATTTGGTTTTCTTTTATTGTTCTCATAACTATGATATTCTCATCAAGCATTAGAATAAATTTTCTTCTTTCTTTCTCTCTCATTTTTTTGTGCTTCTGTATAATGCAGAACAAGGGATCAAAAGATGTTCTCCAGTCAAGTTTGAGTGCTTTAAACAAACTTACATCACAAATTACAAAGCCTCCAAAACGCAAAACTTCACCTCTTAATTGGTTCCCGCGCAAAAAGGTGGATTATTTGAATAGGAAAATAAAATCGCTACAGGTAGTGCTATCTATGCATGCTTTTCTTTTGTCAACAACATTTTTGCTTTATCAAAAGGTTTGACACTTGCACATAACGCAGGAAGTAGATGGAATGAATTCAACTCTTGATGAGACTCTTGGGGATTCAAATCCACACTACTCCAGAGTTCTGAGAGAAAAAATTGCAGTAAGAGAAGCTGCAGAGAAAGCAATGGAAGCTCAAAAGGCTGCAAAGGTGGAAGCATCTTGGTGTCGTATACTTAAAGCAGCCAGGTACTACTCGCATTCTTTTGGACTAAAAGTTTGATTGAGATATATCATTTTTCTTTTACAGCAGACTTATTTTCTCTTTAATAGGATTGAAAGTAAAGATGCAGAAGCGGAGCTGTCAAAAGCAGAAAAATCTGCAGCTGAAGCTTTTGAAGCTGCAACAGCCATCGGTGTAATCATGAGTGATATACCAGAACATGCACAATAAACTTACAAAATGGAAACTGTGAAAGGAGAAGAGTCTACCTCTCATACAATATCGGCAAGTTTTGAAACTGCATTTGAAAATGGTGAAACAGTCATAGATGAACGAAAAATAGGGATGCCCGTGGCACTGAATTTTTTATTGTTGCCAAGTCAACTATTTGTTTGTGCATTTGATCACAGCTGCACAGAATAAGCATTGCTGTCTTAAGTATTATGCACGGGCAAGTTGGACATGGCGTTTGGGAAGTTGAAGGTCATTGTTGTCTTCAAGTAGTCTGTCTTGAAGTTGGACTAAATAAGCCTTGCAGGATGGACAGAATATGCTGAAAGGTTGGACAGAACAAGCACTGCAGGTTGGACGTGGCGTTTGGAAAGTGAAAGTCATTGCTGTGTTGAACCCGAGTCAGCTGAACTTGTTTGGTGTTTTTGCTAATTGTGTGCATATATTAGCCAGTTATTGCCAACTTCAACTTCATGGAATTCTGCTGTTCAAGCCAGTATTTACTTGCAGCGAAGGGAGCACCTGAGGCAGCTGGACTTGTTTAACTATGAATCAGCTGAACTTGTGTTACTCATTTGCGAAAATTTGTTGTTTTCTAATGGAAGCAATTTCTTGTTACGTTAACAAAGACAATAAAAGGCCTGTTATGTATTGCAAGAAAAGTCTTGGAAGCCATCCTTGGGGTCAATCAATGATGGCTGGACTTCTTTTATGTATTTTATTTTTGAGGAATACATGTAGCTTGATTAACTATGAATCAGTTGAAAATTTCTCTGTTCTGTATTCTTGTATTGGAAAATCATTATGTAAATGAGAGATTCAATGCTTACTTATAGTTACTTGTGATTTTATACCCCTACAAATATTACCTTATAGTGCAAAAATGCCTTCAACTCTACCCTATTAAGTACCCAACTACACTGTAGCACGTGCATCGCACGTACGCGCACTAGTGGTGGAAGAAATTGGAAGTTTTTTTTTATTGAAAAAGAGAAAACGGATCAACAAAATTCAGAAAAAATAAAAATATAGTCTTCAGGCTGGACCGGGCCAAACAACCCACCTAGCTGGACCGCAGTTGACCACAGTCAACCCTTGATTTTTATTTATTTATTTTTTTCTTTTCTTGTTTCAAACTTGTTCAACTTTGTCCCAAACCCCAGTTTTTCATGCGTCCTTCGTCATTTTTTCAAGTTTTTTTTGTCTACTTTTGATCCCTTTTCATCTTAAACTTCAATTTTGATGTTGAAATTTCCAATCCTTGAAACTTCATAATCATTCAAAATTGGTTCGTCTCAAATTTTAAAATTGTGCAATTTAGTCCGTAAACTTTTCAAAAGTTGAAATTCCCTCGAAATTTATTATTTTCTTCTAATATATCCCTTTTACTTCTTATCACTTCAAAACATGCTGTTAGTTTTTAATTGCTCCGAACCAATTTCAAATAAAAAAATACTACTTGTATATCAAGAATTATACATTAAGGTGTACATCACACTCATATAGGGGTAGGACCCATTTGTATAAAATATTTTTTTATTCAAGCGGGTCCCACCCCCCATGTGAGTGTGATGTACACGCCGATGTACACTTTGATGTACCGGTAGCAAAACCGTTTCAAATAAGCTTAAAATCACTATTTTGGCTCCAATTGCATCGAAGTCCGAATTTTGCTACAGTTAACATAAATACACTAAACTATGTAGAAATCCGCTCAATTAGCCATAATTTATTACATTTAAAAGGACGAAGAAATAAACTTATTAATATCCGAAACTAGACATCTATGGCTTGCTTTAGGCTTGAATTTGTTAGAGAAAAAGTTTTACATAACTTAAGACAACTTTTAATCAAAGTCCTAGTCTACATTAAACTCTTGTACATTAACCATAGAATATTTATTCTATACAAATATAGGTCTAGAGGGATAGCTTTTACCATTGTATAGCATTTGGAAAGTTGGTTTGTAAGATTATAAATATTGTGAATATACCGAACAAATTCAGGTTGTTCAATTATTTTTAGCTTCAAGTGTAAATCTTTTCCGAATTAATATTTTAGAATTAATAACGGAATGCCACTAGTTTGTACGGTACGAATCAATTGGCAAGGAATGAGCAGAGAGTGAATTAGGTGTGGATGCTTCTTTCCTCCGTTGAATATCTTACCCAAAGGATGGCTAGTAGGCCTTGTTGACCTCCACCACAACCAAGTTCGTCATAACTGTGGCCGCCATGACGTACGCATGGATTCGTGTGACGAAGTTGAGAAGAAGGCCTATCATCTTTTTCTCCATCTTCTTAGGCCATTTGCATATGATGGCCTCTGTCGTTCTCCGTCTTTCTAACTTACATTAATGATTCTAATTGTGTCGTTATATAGCTAAAATAATCACCATTTTCGTAAATATTACTACGGGAAAAATTCATAAATAAGGTGTATTCTTTACACCAACTCAAAAATCAGGTTTATAATTTGAAAATTCAAAAATCAGGTTTTTTTTTTATTATTATTATTTTTTTTTTTTATGAAAATCAATTTATTATTTAATTCTAATATAATATAATTAACTCATCCCACATGCACTACCCGTACCGATCCGGTGACTATTTCGACGATCATTTCGACCATCACTCTTCTCCGGCGATAGTTCCGGCGACTGCTCCGATTCCGACAATTATTCAGGCGACTATTTCGGTGACCATTCTGGTCACAGATTTATAATTTACGGTCACAGTTTAAATTAATTGGTCACAGTCCAAATTAATTGGTCACAGATTTTTTTACGGTCATAGATTATATAATTTTTAGGTCACAGATTTCAAAATTAGTTGGTCACAGATTACATTTTGTCACATATTGCAGAATTTTAAGGTCACAATTAATTCGTTGGTCACATATCAAAATTAATAGGTCACACGGTCACATATTTCAAAATTAATTGGTCACAGATTTTTTCACGATCACAGATTATATAATTTTTAGTCACAGATAACAAAATGGTTGGTCACGAATTATATTTTTAGTTACAGATTACCGAATTTTGGTCACATACGCCAAATAGTTGGTCACATACCACCTCCACTTGCAACTACCCTCACCTCGGCACCACCACAACAGTACCAATGCCACACCACCAATGAAAGCCGCCACTCCACTACCGACACCAACTGAACTCCACATAATCTCACCACCCAACACCACCCTCTCCAACTCAAACACCGTCGTCGCACCACCACCTTGGATAGCTTGGCTGTAAGCCTAGAATTATTTGTATACTCGCAGCAACAATTAAAGCGCCTTGGATAGCTCTCATGGTTTGTATAAATCTCTGCGCAACAGTCAAATATTTACATCATGTTCAATGCCCCTTATTTAAGAGCTAATAGACTAAGACTAAAGGATTTTGCAATGGGAAAGGAAGAATAAAGGTACTCACTATATGAGGCTCATCTATTCGTTGCAGTGATGAGTCACTAATAATATATACTATGGGAATGACATAAGCAAAGGACCCTCCAACAACAGCAGGTAGCCTTGTTCCAAAGAGTGCTTGAAGAAGTGTGTTAATGCCACCTACGAAAAGCAAAGTTTGTATGACTCGTGCTTTGTCCCCCTGGTTTAGTCAGCGAATACACATCAGACAAGATACGAAAGAATGTAATTCAGGTCTGGACAAAAATATGCAATTTTATGGCAACATATTGGACTCTGAGAAAAATTTGAACTCAATATACAATGGCAAAACCAGACATAACATTTTTAATAATTTAAGGTAGTAAAAATATATTGATTAGCTCAGCAGTGAAAGGCTACCTTTAAACAAAAACCAACATTAGTCTTTCCAAAGCAGAAAACAAAAGTAACTAGAAATCAATTCAAAAACCAGCTTACATCAGATCCACCCATCAATGGGACAAGTAATGTGGGAACCATTACACTTGTCCCTAGTACTAATATGTAATTCTAAAATGCTAACAGGACTGTTTCCGCTGCAGAGAAGAAGGAAATATTAGGGAATTGAGAGGAAATAATGAGAAAATATGTTTCTTAATTTTGGCCTAAATGATATTTACCACACTCGTATAGGAACAAAAGATTAGTCACTGAATATTTTAATCATTATGAATGCTGATAATCTGCACCACCCACACAATCAGCTTACACACACACAAATCACACAAATCAGCATACATATCGCTTCTGCTTCATCGCGCGCAGTCATTTCATAGCCTCAACTCGCAGCGATTCGCGTTCCTGGCTGGCGATTCGCAGATCCAATCCGATTGTGCGACGCCGTAACGGATCTGCAGCAGTGGTGTCTCACCGGCGAAGCTGCGGTGACGGCTGCAATCGAACCGATGGCAGAGAGAGTGGAGAAAGGAATAGTAGAGAGTGAAGAGGAGGGGAAGAGAGAGAGAGATGACGGGGAGAGGGAGAGGAAGAGGAAGGGAGGCGAGAGAGAGAGAGGGGGGGGAGAGGAGGCACACGAGAGGGAGATAGGTGAGGAAGTTGAGGGTGAGTGATAAATTAGGGCCAGGGTTTTAATATATAATACCTGATTTTTGAATACATAAATTTTGGGCCTGACTTTTAAAAAGTAATCTTTAAATTCCTGATTTTTTATAAGTGATAATTACATCAAACCAGAATTTTTAAGATGTAATTTCAAAAATCAGATATAAATTTTATTTATACAAAAATCAGATATTAAATCAAATATTTAATATTATTAATTACCCCAAAATTCATCACAATCTCTAATTATTCTCTCTCTCTCTCTACCCGTCACTGTGCCGATCTGCTCCTCTCCCGAAAACGCCATCGCCGCAGCCGCCAGTGTAAAGCACCACCACCGTTATCGCGACAGTTGTGAAGACACCACCACTGTGCTCAAGACGCCACCATCGAGCGGCGTTGAAGCGCCACCACCGTCGTCGCAACATGTGTGAAGACACCACCACCACTGCGCTTAAGATGCTACCATCGAGCGGCGTTGTTCTGAAGCTGCAACGCCGCTGCGAAAACCCTATTGCAGCCCATCACTCTGTAGTACCGCATCTCGATCTGCGCAACGCTGAGGCTATGTTGACCAGCAATGTCAAACCAATATTGTGCGTTGTGATTTGTGATTTGTAGTTTGTGGTGAACGTCGATAATGTTTGTAGTTTGTGGTTTCCGGCGATGAGCGTCACTGCTGTGGTTTTCCGGCTAGGTTGTATTGGTGCGGGTGGATCTGTTGTGGTCTTTTTTTTTGGGCTCTATTTGTGCATTCGGGTGTTTTTTTTTTGGGTGATGGTGGTGCATTCTGGTTGTTGGTGAGGTGGTGTGATGATGGATCTAACACTGTTGACGGTGTTGGTGGTGGATCTAGTGGTTGCGGTGATTTTTGTTGGATTTAGTGGTGGTCTAACAGGGTATGT